GAGAATACCGCCTGTAGGAGGAAAGATGAAAGGCTAGAGAAGAGAAGTATTAGGCAGAGACTTATTGCTTCAGTAATTACTACTAATAGCCACCCCCCTAGTAGTAAAGGCGAAAGGAGGTGGCTCTATACTATCCTATACTGTCCGGGAATGCCTGAGAGAATTCCATGTTGGTAAACATCCGGACCATAAATTTTTCCAGGATTCCGTGGAATTTTCGTGCACTTTACGGGATCCTCGCCGACATTTCACGTCGCTTTATACTACGAGGTGTTGGGGATACGAAGGAACGTTATTGTGAGGAAATGATGGACCAATAGAAGGGGAAATAAGCTTCTTATAAAGAAAGGAAGAGACAAATAATAGTGACATTTACAATTTTACGGATGTATATGACTGTCTTAAGTTTATTTCAATGTTTACGACGCTCGTATCGAACGATATTCGTTAATTGTGTCAAATTTATAATTCTGTTACACGTAATATCTTTACGCGTAAAAAAATTGAATAAATTAATATAACTATATAAGCTATCTCTCTATGATATTTATACAAATATTTCTTTAAAATCGATTTCTTTAAAATCAATAGTTCGCTACATCTATTCATAAAACACTGTTTCCTCTCGTTATGAGAATCGCGATAAGGATAACGATAACTCCCGGAGGTAGCGTACAATATAGGCACATCGCGTTGAATGGTTGCTATGTGATTTATGATCTGTCTCTATCGCGTCCCTATTCCCTTGCCTCGTTGTTCCTGTGCAACCGGTCGATTCACGATGTCTATGATGTGGTATATAACTTGTTTCTTCTCGTATACAATATCAGCGATCTCTTGAAACTACAGCTATAGCATTTTTATTACTACATAGATAATCAAGTGAATTATAAACTTATTTAGCATTATATATTTTTATATTTATATGCATATTATATCATTTTGATTACTTGACCTTAACTTTGTATATTTTATTATATTTTATTATTATTATTTTATATAGCGATATAATTCCAGAAAGTTTTAAAAATAAAAAAATTTATATAAATGCGTAACATTTACCCGTGCTGTTATATAGAGTGGTCACTACTTCAAGTGTTAGTTGTAAAAAAGAAAAAAAGCAAAAAAGAAGAGACGTCGTGTAAAGAACTACCTACTTAAACCCTCTGTCGTCTAAACGCCCCGTCTGTCCTCAACAAAATCTGTGCGATAACGTTGAGCAGTACTAGTAAACTCGTTGGACGGAATTGCGGGACGCAGCTAGACATCGAATAGCTCCCGTGTGATTTACAGTCTGGCCCTATCAACGTCCTGGCCTTTCGTCATGCTACCCCTCACCTAACTCCCTAAGCCGGAAGACGAGCGTTTCTATGAAATAGAAACATCTTGCTGGGTTTCGCGCGGCATAAGCCAACGCTCGAGATATATTTTATGGGGTAACATTTCCCTGACGGTACTGCCGTGTAGAAACACCCAAGGAGGAGTATCCCATACATCAGGGCTGCACCCTGTCTCTTAGCGCAGCGACTCTCAATGGAAGCGTCCTGAGAATAAGAAGTGAAATACCGTATGATCCATGCGAGGAGATAATTCAGTCCGATCGATTATCTTAAATTCTTTAAATTATTTTCCATAACGTATTCACTCTATTCTGTGCTATTAAAAAAGGGAAGCTGGAATACTACTCCTTCTCTTGGAATTCTTCCATAATTTCAGCTTAAATATGTGTCTCATGCGCTGACTTTAATACATCTCACATAAAAAGATATATGAACTTTCATCTACGTTGCGTAAAACTTTAAAGTCTTCCTGCTAGTAAAAAAAGCTCCGAAAGATAAAACTTGTGAGCCACTGCACCCTTTCTCTTTCTTTCTATCCTAATACTTCCATCCTATATTGTTTCTTCCGCTTAGTTTCTTTTTTTTTTCTTATCTTGTTTCATTCATCCTAAACGTACTGTTCGTATTCTGACCTACTTTACTCTGGCGGGCTTTTACCAAGTCTGTCGCCTTTGCGATTACTGTCACGCATGTCCTACGTGTCTGAGAATACTTCCTATAGTTTCCCTTTATGAAGATGACTGCATTTTGCCTAAAGAAGCTCGTTATATTTTATTTCCTGCGACGAGTTTCATAAATTATTTTATGAATATTTTATATATATATATAAGTATTGAAACAATTCATATATTATTTATCATATTATTTTCGATTGTACCATCTATTTTAAAGCAAAGGATACAATTAACTTGATGCTACAAATGCTTCAAAGTATTTTTTAACTAGTCAGTTGATAAAAATCCTTGCTCCTTGATCAATCAAAGCATTTGTAATGAGACTTTGATCGCAACCTATATTATCTATGCGACATTGACATTGCGTAAACATCGTTCAAATAACGACTCGTTGTTTGTAACTTTTAAATAACTTTTTAATGTAATTGTCTTTTTTTTTCGTTTATTGTGATACGCTCTGTTGTTTTATACGCGCCGCCTAATCACGTTTTTGATGAACCGCGGGCAAGTTGCGAATCAGTACGTAATACCTGCGCTTTCAGCGCCCAAATTCGGAGAGCGCGACTAAATAACATCTTCGACGCAGGCAGCGCCGGTAGACGATACTGCGGCTGCTCCAGATCGTAATATCGCTTTAATTATGTGCGCCGTATTTGCGCCGGGTCGCGTTATTAATTTCGGGTCCTCACGCCGAGAGACTTACCGTTACGACCTCGGGGGTTATGTCGGATCCTGCGAACCCTCTGGCAGGCACGACGTCGGGCACGGAGACGTACCGTTAGAGGGTGAGCGGTGCAACCCTCCCCACTCCCCCCTCCCCCAGGATACATGTCTGCACGTACGATGCATCCGCTCGGCGCAGCACACGGCTCATCTTTGAGATGTTATTGCGCGAGCGTAGCCCGTCCCTCTCTCGTCCTGCCGTATGTAAATTATTTCGGGCGCTAAATTAAACAGGTGAAACGGTGTTACGCGATAAGTTGGCGCGAACAGAATTGCCCCACGAAATATCTCCGTTTTAGGATGCTTACGGTGGCTGGAGTGTTCGGATTCGTGACGTTGACGTAGACGAGCAAGCCGGTTCAATTGCGAGTTTGGAATTATTCTGCTTTTTACTCGATAAGAACAACAATTTCCAAGATGTTTGCTTCAATTTGAGTTATCATCACTGACGGAAGTTTTGATATGAACGAAGTACCACGTGATGGAATGTAATAACTTTCAATGATCTCACGCGGAATGTTCGTATTCTCGTAATAATTTATGATCATTTGAAATATAAGAAGTTATATAATATAGAATTACGTAAGATATTTATATAAATATAGAATTATTTATATAGTCGCGTTAAATGTTCATGATTCATTGTTTATAAGTGATGTTATAAATATAATTGTCTTCTATGGCCGTCTCCTAGAACAGGTACATACCGCTTATAGCCTTCGACTGAAGCTAGATCGTGGTCTATTATTTTTCACCGATGTAATTTTTCCTCGTTTTCCAGACAGTTTGGCCGGGCGTCTCGCGGAAAATATCCCCGCGGATTGCGGTCGCCGTGCAAAATAAATAATCCCTACCGTCGCTTCCGTTTCTCGTTCCGCTTCGCGTGTCACGTGTCTGTTCCATTTTTATTGCGACGAAGCCACCTCGTTACATCGACTCGCGTATCTATTTATTTCTTATTCTTTTTTTTTTTTGTAAATTGCGCACACTTTTTTTATTCCATTCATTTTTGAATGCATAATGCAATATATTTCATTAGACTACAAAAATAGAATGTTTGTAATATCTGAAATTGTGAATTAGGGACTAAGGACAGTACAAAAAATTAAATATTTTTTAATTGTATACGCGCATCATCTATCATATCTATTAATCATTTTTATAATTTCTACGATTACTCAATGGAAAATTTGATTTTTCTAATATACCGCAATGCTTCAAGTCGCTTACATTATGCAGTGTGCTTTAAAATGAGTTCGAAGTTCTCGGATGGAGCAATTAACGAACAAACGTGCGCGCATGAATGGACTTGAAGTTTCGCTTTCTCTTACGCTCATTTTACTTGCCGAACTGTTATGGCTACTTAGAATGCATTATGAAGACATAGTGATGCCACATAGGGCTGTTACAAACTTTACTTGTTGCAAGTATTTGCGCTATATCACAGTGTTTGTTACAAATAATCTCTGTAGACACAATATTGATTTAGACATTTTTAATTTAAACTATTGATTGGAACTACACCAAAAGCATTATTTGATTATCTATTTACTATGTGTATCCATAACTTCAACATAAATTAGATAATTAGATAATCTATTAGTATTTTCAGAGAATAAAATAACTGAATTTGTATGCTATTACGAAATTGATGTTTCCAAAGATATAATTGTAATTACGAAATAAATTGCTGTAATCATAGATCAAAATCTGTATATATATATATATATATATATATATATATATAGACGTATGTATGTGCAAACTGTAAATAAGAAATTATTTTCTATACATGTACATTTATATTTGCAATTGCAAGGATGAAAAGGAAGAGGAAATTCGATTTGAAACACTTTGAATGTCTTTCTAAAGTGCATAAACTTTCGAGTGTTCTACTTGCTATGTAACGAGAAGTTACGAATAATTATCACTTACAGAAAAACTATCGATTTCAAACTTTATGGAGAACTGTTTGTCAATTGTGCCAATAAAGGAAGATCTAACTGAAGATTGGTTAATATAAAATTATAATAAATCTTTTTATATAACTTAATAAGTATATATAAAGTTTTCAACATGTCTCTATTTTTATATTTTCTTTCTTTTACAAATTATGCCAAACAAGCTTACATGTCATTCTTCGCAATATTAAAATGTACAATTAATTTTGTCCATATAATATGCAATATTAAAAATATCATTAAATATCATAAATATAAATAAGATAATATTTAACATAGCAAATTTGGTGTTGCAAATAAAGAATAATTCGAATTAATTCTTTGTTATGAAACACACGCTCGTCTTCAGACATACCTGTACTCAAGTTCCGTTTCTTCCAAACTCGGATTAAACTCGTCTAATTAAAACACTGTAATTAAGTGAATAATCTATCTATTTTTTAAATCCAGAGAAATTTGGCATTCGAATCGCGCCTACTCCAGTCAGGGTTACGCGTGGAAGTATCATCTGAATATTTCTTTTAATTTTATTGTTAACCTGTGGTTTTTTCAACAAATGCTTGAACAAACCCCTAACAAATTCTCCTTGCGTCTTATATTTCTCAAAATCGAAATCTTCGTTGTCTTGAAGAAGATTGGGATTTTGAGCCAGGTATGTGATTAGATCGTTATATGCTAGTTTCTCCCTATGCGTTAATTCATTAAAGTTTATCGTTTCTTGTATCATATCGCCTAGTTGTACTTCGGCCTTAACTACGTACATTTCGACCCACATCCACATAATGGGCAAGGCACCCATTTCAGTGAATTCTATCTTGTTCTTGTAGTATTGAAGTGCCCTCAAAACTTGTCTTTCAAGATGTATTTTACCAGACAATGCAGTCAGAATAATTTTACGCAAAAGGTCTCCGCGAGTCATAGTTAACGGTGGTTTAGCTATGTGCAACTTGTCTAAAAGAGTTGGATCGGCAAGGAATTGTTCTAGCTTCTCTGTCATAGTGATTTCATTATCACTATCCGGTATTGGCAAAGCAGACATCAAACTTGTTAATTCAGGCTGCCACTGACCTGTTGTTTCAGACATCATTTTCACGAGATTATCTTCGGACACGTGGATATTCATTGATGGTACCTCGATAGCATTTATATAAATATCAATTATGGATTTCAACTTCGGATTCAATTGAATCGTTTTACTTTTCCGTAATTTGTGCAAAAGTGTAATTAAAAGGGCTCCTTTATTTGGATATATGAATGGTTGAAAATCTGGTCCAAGTATTTCTACAATTTTTGAAGTTGTGAAAATTTTCTTAAGAGGTCGTATTGTTACCGCAAACACATCTCCTTCTTTCAAAGTAGGTAATAGATCGGCGTAAGGATTAGATGGATTTACAGATTGCAACAATAATTTAGGATTGACGAGAGGTATGGTAATAGTATCAATTGACGTTTTTTCGGGTGGATTTTCGGTAATTCTACTATTAGTTAAATCATTTGGATTAAATGTAGAATACACGATGTCTGATACTAACTTCATTGATGATACTACGATGGGCAATAATATCGTTGGACTTACATATTCTATAGTGGCGATATATTTCTGAATCAGGTTCATCAATTGTGGATTCTTCGCTACTTCTGGATAAATCATGGCTTTCTTAAGTATCGCTGCTAATAATGCAATGTTTGTGGAATAAAGCTTCGTATCTGTACCTTTCAAAATCTTTTTGACATAATTTTTACCAAATATGGCAGATAATGGTTGTAACACTTGACTAACTATTGGTGAATCGGCATCTTTTAAGAGATCGTCGATTTCCGGTGGTTTTAAAAGTTCGCTGATTTCAGGTAACTCAAAACCAGGTTCTGCTGTGTTATGATCATCCGTCGTTACAACTGGAACGCCATTATTGGATATTTGCACCTTAATAGGTTTATCAGTTTTTATCAATGGAGGTAATACTATTGCACTCGATACATTTTCATTGCTGGTCTTGTCTTTAACTCTCTCTGAAAAGTCCGATTCTATATATGGTACGTTTGGTTTTTTTTGTGAGTAGATTTTTGTAGGGGTTTTTTCCGGTGAAGAAGTTTGAATCTCAATTTCTTCATTCATTATGGGGTATGATATTTCTTTTGGCAATACCATTTCTGGAGTGTGTTCGATTTCAGGATTGTCTTCAAAAGTGCTTTGTTTTTTAGATATCGTGTAATGATAAGGCTGTTCTCTTTCCGGTTTCTGCGTTACTTTATAAGTAACTTGAGTTGGAATACTATGATATATTGATGTTAACGAAGGTTTTGAAGTTAAAGGCTGCTCTGATATTTCTTCTTGAGTAGGTATATATTCACTAACTGATGCCTCAGTAACTTGCACTTCAGTGTCTTGAGCCTCAGTGATTATCTCGTTTGGTTCAGTAACTTTTACTTTAGTAACTTGTGGTTTAGTGACATGAGCTTTATCTGTTGTAATTATTGGCGATACCTTTATTTCTGCAGGATTGATATCTACAGGAAGTCCTGTTTCCCATTCTGTAGGTTGCGAGTCAACTTGCATAGTAGGACCGATCTTACCATGTTCCATATTTATGTTCCATGTTACGTACGGAAATTTATTGAAATTACTTATCATATTATTCGGAAACATATTATCAATTGCTACTGCAACTGGATTTTTCCGATCTACGAAAACATTTACATCCACCGGTTTGGAAGAAAAACTTTGTGATGGAATCAGCATCGGCGAATTTGTCTTCAGTCTATATGCTATGTTTTGAATTTTTGTTATTAGTGTCAAAGGTATATTACTTTGTAATCTCTGTATATGCTGGAACGTATTTAGCAAACATTGTTTAGGTATCAGACATTTGTCTTTTTCCGTTGGCATCAAGGTACTCAAGAGTACAGATATTTTCGGCTGTGCAATTAATTCAAACTTTATAGAATCGATTGTCGATCCCATCACTGGATCCATTTCTGGAGTCTTCAGAGAGTCTAAAAGTATCAATACATCGACTTCAGGTGATACAAATGGCGTGAAAAATCTAGCATATTTTTTTACAATTAAGGCCGGTAACAAAGCTGTAATTGATTGTCGAAGCATTTGTAAATTAGAATTTGGAAGGTTTGGTATGCGATTTGCAAGTCTCGTCAAGAATGCCAAGAGAAGATTTAAGGGATCGCTATAGGCGAATTTGTTAAATCCCTTCAAGATTGCATCCAGATCCTCTCTTCTGTAATTGCGTAAATATGTTAGCAGATGATCTTTCATGCGGATCGCATCGGGACTGAATTCTTGCGGAATAATGGCTGAAAGCAACATTGCAATATCTATATCTTTTTCAATTAGACGATGCATATATTTTAAATTTGGAGTAATATGACTTGGAACCACCACAATCTTCAGATGATGGTATACGTAAGCCGCGGCATCCTTTACAATCATTTGTACATTTGAATGGAGAATCTTAGTCAAGACAGAAAAGACAAGTGAATAAGCATCGTCGGTGTTCGGATCTTTTCCTATCAAATTCCAACTCTTGTCATCGATCATATTATTTTTGGTTAATTCGTATAAATACTTGATGTTTTCTTCGAGTATAGGATCATCGCTAGGATTTGGTAAATTTATGAGTATCAAACCGAATAGTTCTTGTGACAAAGGTTGCTTATTGGCATGTAAATTGTAAAGGAGCTTTACAAATACTGGTCCAACAGCTTTTTGAGTGATATTCGAATATTTATTGAATCCTATCATTTCTTCATCATTTTTCACTTTACTTTTCAATATCATGTCTGAATCGATGTTGGCAAGATAATTAAATGTTTCGAACGCTGTTGGTTTCAATAACATGTTTAAGTCGATTCTTTTCAATTCTATCTCATTGGCCAAGTATTTAGCTGTGCATTGGAGATAAGAAGGTAAATTTTTCATCATTGACAATAGTATGATTCGTGTCTGTTGATTCTTATCGAGATTATCTAATTTAGATAAAACAGGCAATAAATTGTACATATAAACCATTTTCTTTTTAAGAAATTCATAAAGTGTCTGTAAAGACATGTATTGCTCTTCTGTTAATCCGTCTTCACGACCATGAAGTAAGTACGAAAAAATGTAAAATATATTATCACGAAATGTCACTGATAATTTCAATTTTTCTATTACTTTATTTTTCTTTTTTTCGACTTTGGACTTTGGAATAATCTCTCTCAGATTATCTGTCAAATGAACACTACTATATATATGTCCAAATAGCATCGGGTTCAAAGATCTTCGTACAACGCCAAAATCCGAAACACGTAGTAACGCATCCTCATTATTTAGTTTGTGCGAGAAGTCAAGAACCTTTAATTAAAAATAATTTTTATTGTAACAACAATATTATGATATATATAATGGAAAGGAATATTACAACAAATGAAATTTGTATATATAAATCTATTACAATCATATTTTAAGAATATTATTTTGAAAAAATTTATAATGGCACTTACTTCTGTTGGTGATTTCGAACGTTTCTGAAAGTAAAAGAAATCAAATTATTATTAGAAATTACTTAACGAAATACATTTTCTAAAAATTAATAATTCTTTTATTTCAATATTTATACGAATTATCGTTATACTTGCATTCAATTAACAACAATCATTGCATTATTTTCAATGTCACAATTTTTTATTTGTATCGAATTATTAACAATTTGTATTAACATATTAAAACTTACTGTCGTTGAACGTTGCACAAATGCTGTTCCAGTTATGGCGAAGAAAATAATAGCTATTACATTTCTCACTATCATTTTGTAGAATGTTACGGCCGAGTCAGATCAAATGGAATCGTAAAATATTAGATTGTTATTTATGTGTGCAAAACGTTTCACATTACACAGTATTTCGTTAGATTTTAAAGCTAGTGCGTCCCGCAGCATACAATAAAGACTGAGGTAAGTTTTAACGAGGGCGATGTCTTTATATGGAAGAACAATCGAATTGCCATGGTTAAAATTATGTAGGTGCGTGTACGCGACCGCCGGCTGAGAATGAGTAACTCAGCAAGCGCATGTTATTGCTAACTGATAATTAAATTTTATTGTTCCGAACGTCGGTATTCCCCTCCTACCTATGTACAATCCGGCTTGTTGGTTTGAGTTGTTGCATCGAGTGAGATGAGATACGGTTATTTGATTTATTATTTTTGATACCATCTTTAAACGACCAGTTGCGGTATTACTTTTATGTTACAAAAAGATTGTTCTACAGCTGAATTTCTATCGCAGAATTTAATCTTCGGATTGTCATTCAATTTTGATCGCATAAGATATAGATTTTTCTAAAATCGGATCGCGGCCATGACGGATGGCATTTAATTACTGAATAAAGCATGATTAGGAATTATATGTTTGTGACAGCAAATTATATATCATTCTTGATGTTGCCTTACATTTAAAACAAATGCTATTCCCTTCGATTTTGCGCTAAACATTAAAAATTAATCATTGTACACAATTGAACGAGAAACAACATAAATATTTCACACAGGAAATATACATAGAATAAATATAAATGTTGAAAAAAATACAGAAACTCTGGATCAGTTTGCTTGAAAAACTCGCTCATAAAAAATATTCGCACTTCAAAATATTGTCACTGGTGTGCATCAAATTTTCTGTTGGTTTCTCTGTTATCGCATGTGGATTGTTTTCAATATCTGTTTGAAATAATTACCTCTCCGCACTGATTTCATGCGATACAGCAACCGTACTAAAATTTTTCTATTAAAAATGAAATCAAAGCTACACACAACAAAGACGCACTGTTTTCTAAGCAAATTTATTTTAGACATTTATATTCACGCATACACATGCACATGTGTGTCAATTTATTTATGCGATCATTCATTTTACATGTGTTACATAAAATTCTTATTACTGCAGTGTTAATTAGCTGATATATTCAAATTAATAATAATAATTATAGGAACTTATTGCAGTCATAAGGACCAAACAAATATTCGTGCAAATGTGACATCTAATCTACAGTCTTATAATTATTGCCTCAAGCAATTTCATGTCTCTTTTGTTTGTGAACATTAGATACGCAACACGTAGCCATACTCGCGACAATGTGGCATCGCCGCCGCCGCTCTTCACCGTTCCTCTGATCGAGCGCAGTATATATTTTTACTTGACCGGCCAATAAAACCGAAGCTGACAATCTACTGTGTCCTCTAACAAATGACAATAGATAACGGGCGACCGAAAGGGTCGCGCCGTCGTGGACGATAAGGTGGCGAGACAGTGACGAATAGGCCTTCACGATGATTCCGCAGAGCTTCCACGGATGCAATTCCATCGGCGATGCAGCCGGCCACTATCATACGCGCACCAGGGGCAATTCCGATAGGCGATCCATTATCTTAAGCGGCATCGAGCAATCGATTCGTGCTGCATCTCGGCCAAGCGCTTTTTCAGGTCCCGCCAGGAGGAGCTTCGCGCTCTCTTCCACTCTCTTTCTATCGCCGCCCCTTTTATTTTCACGTACGCGTAAATTTTTTTTTGATTGACCTGTGAAACGCGCGCGCAAAACGCATATTGCACTTCTATGTTGCTTCCCTCGCTTGTCCGTAAGGTCGACCTGTCGGGATTGGAATTGAACGATGCGCAAATACGGCGGCTCCGCGCGGGAGCTAAAAGCTTGCGCGTTTTTGGAAAGGTATCGTTTTTCTCGCATTTCCGCGAAAGAATGAGCTTCTATTTATTCTCGCGGAGATTAATGACGCTGTTTGTCGGCGATAAAATAGCTTCACAATACTTAACGTATTATTCTGTTTGGAAAAATGGAGATCGTGTATAATCAGGATTGTACATAAAATACAGAATTTTAAAGCTTCTGCTGCTGCTGCTGCTGCTGCTTTCGTGAAAACTTTCGCGTCATGGTAGTAAAATTAATTGATGTAAACAACTTAGAACATATAAACGTTAATATTTCATCAGAAACTTTTACCGGATGCGCAAACACACATATATAAAATTTTTACTATACATAATAAGAAATATTTTATAAGAG